AACCCTACACCCTAAACCCTAGCCCCGAAACGCACCAAGGTTCTGGAATTAGCGGGTCTGCAAGCGATGGTGATCACCAACCGGATCAGAACATCGATTGGGGCCTTGAAGACGCTCGAGGCCTGGCGTTCATGTCTCTTGCGGTCAAATAACGCAGGGGCCTCTGCAATTACCAATATTATTTTGGAGGGGGTTCCTTATTGTAATTATAGTATAGTGGACCCCAAAAGCCTATTCTAACTATCAAGGCCTCTATATTCAGCAAGAATCTATATTATAAAGTTATGCAGTATTATACAGTGTTATGTAGTTTGTTAGAATATGTTAAAGTACAGTATAGTAGATTATAGCATATTCGAAGTTCCTGGTCAAGTTGAAAGGACAAGTTGGGAGGTTCGAAGGAACAACTCGCAATCGACGTTCATAGCCAATGTAGCATGGTTAACAGTCCTGCACGATAGGTTGGAGGGTCTACGTCCACTCGGCTTGTTCCTGGCTCTGCTATGGCTCAGCACTGCCTGAATCCTCACGGTCCTCTTCAGAAAGTCGCCCGGAATCGCGTGAACTTTATAGGGTCTTGGCTTCCGTGTCGGTTGTTTGCACTTGGCGATTGCCTTCCCGCCGCTCTGTAGACCCCGAGTTCCCTGCAGTGCCGCTCAGTCAGTTAGCTTGTAACATCATGCGCAGTAGCAGAAGCGACTGAATCCAGTGACTCAGTGGTTTCGTCCTCGGCGATGCCTCGCAGCCAGGCAATGATCCAGCTCCAAGAGATTGGCTGCTGGGCAGAGTCAGAATACCCCTACGGGTCCAAGTGCCTAATCATCATATACTCCCAAATAGTAACCTACATAACTACTATCGGAAACCTAAGTACCTGATTATTGGGTTCTTTGGACCCTTGGGGTACTGCTTCCGAGATCTTCCGAGACTTCTGTCGAGGTTTTTCGAGGAGAGACATGTTTCCGTCGTCGTTTGGAGAGACCGTTGCGTTTTTGTGCAGGGTTGCTCGGCTCAAGCTGTCGCATAGAGCTCTGAGACCCTACTCCCTTTAACACCACCTTCAGCAGCTATCAATCTGAGCAGAGATGTGTAATGAAGATCATGCATGCATGGATTTGCTGGGAATCCTGACTTGCCGGAGCTAGGACTCGCCAGCCATATAAAGCCGCGAGCTTCAGCTCGAAGTCTGCAGGCCGAACACCACGCACCACAAAAGCACAAAAAGAAACAACGCTTCATCTTACTCCAAAAAAGGCGATACCCAGAGAGCCCAACACCCCTTAACTAGGCTAGGGAATACACCTTAACCTACAGCCGCCTTATGTTACTATGGTTCAAGGACATTTCTCTGCTTTAGGGATATTGGGCTCTCTGGGTAGTTCATAGACCCTTAAACCCTAAACCGTAAACCCTGAACCCGAAACCCTAGACGACTTAGATGGGCCCTACACCCTCCGTCGACCCGCCGTCAGCCCAAGCACCCAAGAAGAAGTGCGGCATCCGCGGCCTCTCAGTACGACAAAGTGAGAATACGCATATGGCGGTTTCCAAAAATAGGGTACCCTAATATAGTACCCTACATAGGTTCCTTATTATAAGGACCCCAAAATAAGGTACCCTAATTTTCGGAAAGTCCCATATCATGCTAAAGTCACGAGAATCGTAGTCAAATCGACAAGGATTTCAAGTGTACTTATAGAAGTAATAGCCACCAATAGCAGTACATGGTAACAAGAATGGTAATGCTAGCCGTACTACAGACTTAAGATGTGGGTCTAGGATTTAGGGGTTGGGGGGCCTGCTTGTTTCTTTCTGGTCTTCCTTTATCTGCACTTGGATCTAGCAGACCCTGATCCGTAATCCCTACCCAAAATTGAACAAACCCCCCAAACCCCAAACCCCAAACCCCAAACCCTACCCTAAAATACCCCACTCCCTAAACCCCAAAACCTATCCTAAAACACAAATCTCAAACCCTACCCTACAATACCGCACTCCCTAAACCCCCAAACCTAGCCTAAAACCCAAACCCCGAACCCGTTACCCCAAGCCCCTGATTTGTGATCAGGGCGCGTCCTAAGAACCTGCATGGTCGAAGGAAGGGTTTCTATAGCAGTTTAGGGTTTACCTGGACCCTATTTAGGGTTTAGGGTTTAGGGTTTAGGGTTTAGGGTTTAGGGTTTAGGGGTTTAGGACCTACCTTTTAGGGCTCCTTATTATGAATTCCTTATATAAGTCCTTAAAAAGTTAGGTTACGTGGGGTTAAGGTAGGGTTTAGGGTACTATTATGGCTTTCTATAAGAATTCACTTACCAGCACCCCCCAACTACCCTCTATTATACCCTAAACACCCACTATTAAGGACCATAAGGGCTCTATTGAAGGGTACTTGGGGGGGTGCTGGTAGGACCCTTTAGGAGTAGGGTTAAGGGCTCAAAGGTTCGAGGGCTCCGAGGACTGCCGGGGTTTTAAGTGTTTGGGGTATTCAACAGTTGACTTAGGAACCCAAACAGGACATAAGCATAAGCATTTTATAGGGATATCCCTACCTTATTGGACTTCAGTATAAGGGGGTTTATATGGGAGATCCCTATCCTAATTTTTGCTTATGTGCTTTTTTGGGGCCCTAGTTGAAGGGTTGAAGGGAGAGGAGCGATTTAAGGCATTAGGGGCAGAGGTTCACACACTGGCTTCTGAGGATTTGCGGAGAGCAACTTTCATCAAATCGCACCTGCACTGCGTCGGACCGTCTTTGCAGATCTTCAGGGCTTGGAAGCATAAAGCATGCTGCTTCGACTGAAGAATCAAAGCCCAAATCCTACATTTCTTCGTGCGTTTAGTTTCGGTATGATCACTGTAGGTGCTACTACGCTGAATATTGAACTGGGCGACAACCCGCATCAAGCAGGGTCCACAGGGGCCTGAAGTTGTGGGGATTGGGCCACCGGGAGTCGACCGCAAACCGAAAGATGCTTGTGACTCAAGTAACTCGGGACAGAAGGGTGTTCTAAATATCTCAACCGAAACCGTTGCCAGCAAACACATTAAGGTTGCCAACTGGTAAAGCCAGCCATAAGCTTGACTCATGCCATGGAGCCAGTTTAGGTTCGACAAGTTACCTATTGTCTTGAGAGAGTGACTCTTGCGTTTTGTAGCACGCACGGCTTACGTGGTGGATTGTATGCGTTACAGCTAGTTATAACTCATAATATACCCAAATACTCCATAACAGATCCTCTCAGAGATTCATGGGTCACACCTAGGTATGTGTACCGGGGGGAGTCGGATTTGAGGGAGTTGGATGGACCATGAGCTTGGGGCGAGCTTGAAACGCGATGGACCAACATTTGTATTCTTCTTCGGTGTCTTCCGTAAGCCGTACACCCTGAACACTAAGCTCTGTCGCTTATCCATGACCAGTTGGTCGGTTGTTCGCCATGACTCTTTGGACCTTCAGGCTTGCATTAGAAGTTTCGGGTTTAGGTTTAGGGTTCAGGGTTTACAAAGCACGCACGCTTATTGACTTGGTGAGTGCCAGCTGATTTGGGGTGTGCTGCGACATAGAGGGTGGTTCCCTACAGGTGATTCTCTCGGCCATGTTGGCATGCACACCTCCTTCACGACGTTGGGCATTGTCGTTGGTGAGATGTATGTTGGTACCACCGTTGTGACATGTATCTCTCGGATATGATGCAGTATCAGTGTCGAAAATGTTAAATGCCGGTGCTGTTTTTCAGTGCTGCTGCTATGCCCTCCTAAATCCTAATCCCCTAAACCCTAAACCCTGACCAGGACTTACAAAGGCATCACGACTGTCGCCCTTGCAAAGCACGGCGTTATTTCAGTCGCCTCGCGGCTTCAACAAAAAGTTCGGGGCTTTATAATAATACTACACTATCAGACTGGTTCAAATCTCTTTAACATAGCGAAATATACTATAATATAGCGGCAGAGAGAGAGAGAGAGAAACATATCACAAATAGAGTACAATATTATACTATAAGATACAATCGTATACTGTAACAGACTGTAATCTAGTACAATACATACAATAATATAGCAGTCGTAGAATATACGATAATGAAGCATAATATGCGAGGATAAACCCCTATATCGTCTAATGTATTATAATATTGTATTAATGTGCTCCAATATGCTTCAATATATTTTATAGTGCAATATGCCATAAAGTATAACGAACTATTATACAATATTTCTTAAAAACTATAATGTAGCATAGTGATTCTGAGCCTCTGAGCTGACTCAGGCATAAATTGTAGGGCAAGGTCGCCGAAAGCTGGGCTACGTTGATGCAACGGCAAGCACTCAATACTACAACAACAGCCTGAAGTATACTTTGCAGGATCATCGACCGGATGGTCGAGCCTTAAACTTCCACCCATGCACTGCCTTCGTGCGGACGTGCGTGGGAGGGGGAGGGGCTGCCGGAGAGTTCGTTCGATGCTTACGGCAGAGTACCCCCTTTAGAGGAAGCCCCCGAGCCCCGAGCCCAGGATGCTGATGACGACCTTTTTTCTTGTTGCTGCTGCTACTCGTCTCGTGCTGAAAGCAATAGCCGTCGTCGTTGTCCACATGCTGTTGCTACCAGCAAGCATGTCTAAGCACTGGTACTGCAGAGGTACAACTGGCACTACTACACGTTGGACTGCTGGAGTAGGTAGAAGTATTGGATCGACGTGGATCCGCATAGGGCTTTTTTCCAGGCCCTCCGCGGTTCCTCTCTGGTCCGTTGCTTTTGATGTAGACGGCAATGGCAGCAGGAAGCTCATAACCTGGACCGTCATCCCTGGTTCCATTTGAGGATCCTTAATGTAGAATGTAGGGGCCTAAGTAATTTCCTATATGGGTTCCTTAGTATAATTCTAGTATAGTGGCTCTATTCTAATTATCAACGTCCCTATAGTATCTTAGAAGCTCCAATCTCAGCACATTCACCCCAAAACGGCACAATTGAGGTCGACCCGCCGCATCAAGAAGTCTCACTGCTGGGCTTCCCGCTGCTGCCGCAAGGTTGATGTTGGTTTCGGTTCTGTTGGGTTTTATTCTGTCTACTATCAGGGCTTTTTGAGAGCTTTGCAAGAGTTTTCAATTTCTGCTATGTTTGTATTCACTTCATGGTCACCATCGTTGATGCCCTAATACGAATACGTAAACGCTTAACCTTAAAAACGTAACTCCTGCTGTCATTTCGAGCACAGTCGGTGTGCAGCCGAAGCAGCCTACAGCGTCAGATCTAAGCTTTTCGTAAACACCCGAAACAGCCGGGTTTAGGGTTTAGGGTTTCGGGTTTAAGGTTTAGGGTTTAGGGCAGGCTGGGACTTAGAATCTCATCTTAGCTATTTGCAAAAGCGCAAGAGGCAAGGCTTGTGAATTGGCCTGAATCGCGACAATCGGAGATTCTGAAATGTTGCAACTCGTGTTAGCCTTCAGGCGCACCTTCACCCCAAATAACCTATATGCGATGAGGAAATCATAATGAGGAATCATTTTTTTGTGTGACAAGCCGGCAGCAATGAGGAACCTTAGGTTTTGTGGGGTTCAGGTAGGGCCAGGGGGTGTTAGAGGACAATTCAGAGACCTTTCCTGAAGGGCGCGGCGGTGTATGTGTAAGTGCAGGCCGCAAAGACAATGTAGGGGTCGGAATAATTATGTAGTAATAATTCCGCCGTTGCCTGTCACATTTCTGCAGCTGTACACTCCAATTCCTAGTTACCCCTAAGCTACCTTGAACTAACCCTCGTCTGATGATTAAGGCCCCTATATTAGGTTGCCAAGTAGGCCCGTTAGATCCTAGCCCAATGTTTGAACCTTTCCTGCAAAGCAGGTAAAGTCCTAGTATGTATGCAGACGTGTGTTTAGATGCCTGCGATATTGCGGTTTGTGCAGGCGCCTTCCACAAGAACTCTGGCCGTGCAGCGAACAATCGTCTGCAAAGCTGAACTTGCGCCCACAACTCCTTCAACCCTAAATTCTATGCAATGAAGTGCCAACATCATAACCTCCCATTCCTGGACCTGTCCCCCCAAGCTCGGCTTAGGCAGTTGTTGAAGGAGGCCGTGGAGTGGTGGGAAGATGTTCTGCACTGTTAGCTTCACGATGTATGGACACCTTTCATCTCTAGGTTTAGGGTTCTGGTCTTGAGTTTTTCACGCTCTATAGTCAGTTGCAGGGCATAGACTGGGGCAAAGACACGCAAATTGTTCAGGCCCTGATGCACCCCAAAGCTGTGCATTATATCAGACACGATAGGTCTGGAGTTCTGAGAACACACGCGATGTAATCTAGGGGCCTAAATAACTACCTGTAGTATTTTTGGGGGGCTCCGTGTTATGGTTATAGTAGAATGTACCCCAAAACAATATTCCAACTATTCAGGCCCTTATATTGCGGCTAAGAAACCAGCCAATTGCTGATGTAAGTTTAGGGCCAAGGAACTTCAAAGATTTTAGGTCTGGCAAGTTTGAGGACCAGATGACCCTTACAAGTATAGGGGGCCCTTTACACTCAGGCTATGACTCCCCATGCCAGTGCTTAGGGTTATCTCTTGGGCATCGGGCTCTGAAACGTTGAAATAAAACCAGCTAGCAAGATCAGCTTTGCTTGACTATAATCTAAACTCCAATACCAGGTACTCTAACCATCTCTACCCCAAGACCCTACACACACCAACCTCACCGAGTCATAGTCATAGTACTCTAAACATCCCCAAACGTTGAAGCCCTGCTCCTATTCTTCGCTTGTTGACGAGCTTCGCAGTTGCTGAATCCCCCTTCGCGTTTTCGATCGTCGCTCAGCGTCGGAGAGACATCGGTCATTCCAGGAAAGTGCGCACGTGGAACCGTCTTCTCTGGCCTGTTGCTGGCCAAAATCAGAAACTACAAATTCCTAAGCATAAATTTGTCACGCATCCTATTTCTCTCGGATCCTGAAACCCCTCAAGGCCTGCAAGCCCCAAAACCTTCTCAACCCCTAAATCCTGAAATCCTGAGCCGCCTGGCAGGACGCAGAAGCCTGCATTCTCTCGGGCTCTGCGAAGGCTTCGGAACATCCTATTAGCTTTAGAAGTATCTCAATTATCTGCTTCTCGCGACTGCTGCTGCTGCTCCTGTTCCTACTCAACTCCTACCCCTACCACCACCACCACCACCACCACCACGACTACTACTACTACTACTCCTCCTCCTCCTCCTGCTGCTGCTGCTGCTGCTGCTGCTAGTACTACTCCTCCTACGACTATTCCGACTTCTGCGACTACCGCGGCTACTACCATCACTGCGACCACTACGAGTACTGCAGCGACCACGACTACTACTGCTGCGACTACTACTACTGCTACGACTACTACTACTACTACCACCACTACTACACTACTTCTTCTTCTTCTACTGTTACTTCTACTGCTGTTACTATATACTATTATTACTACTACGACTGCTACTGCTACTGCTACTGCTGCTGCTGCTGCTATGCTGCTATATACTGCCTACTGCTATTCTGCCATACTGCTACAAATATTGCTATACTGCTTCTGCTACTGCTCCTTCTGCTGCTTCTAGTACGACCACGACTACTACCAATACCAGTTTTTGCAATATAGGTATCGCATTTTTTGGAATCATGAACAACAGATGTAGCCCCCATATAATTGTATCATGATATATCATGAAACACTAGTTTGACTGTTCAGGCTTCCGAAGAAAAGGCATTGGCTCTTGGGTTTGAGGACTACGGCTCTGCAGTTTGATCCCCCCACCCCCGTACTGCACCTAACCAATTACTTTGTCATAGTTGGGTAACATTTTACATTTTTAAAGGTACTTAAACCCAATAAGGACTATAGATTTAAAATTTTAATACTACCCCCAACCATGAACTAGATTAATGAAATAACTTCAAGCACAGAGATCAGAACTTGTCAGGCATCCGCTGCTTGGGAAACCAACTCCTCGGCATTGGTGGTATCTTTGCTCGAAGACCCTTCCAGTGGCGTAAAAGACCTTGGGAGCATGACAAACGGCCTTTACTGTTACTTACTGTGCAAGTTTCGGCGGCCTATCGGCCTCCCGTGCTAAGGTACTTCATCCGATTTTTGCTCCACATGCTGCCCGAATACTGCCGAACGCTGAGTGGATTTTCAACGGGCAGAACTACAGCCGTGTCTTGGGCCAACTAGCTGTAGCCAGCTCATTTCGGGCTAGACACTTTTTTCGTTTTAACGGACAGACAGAGCCAGCATCCACTACACGATTTCGCGAATAGTGCAACCTTGCCGGTGGTGGTACTCCAAAATGTCATCAGTGGCACACGCCTAAAAGCCTTACAGATTCTGTTCAAGCCACACATAAAAGATTGGCGGGACGTGGTGACGGGGTCATACTTGGGGTTGTTACTTCTGATTACTATATTATTTTTGTGTTTATTACAAGTGTTGTTTTTCTTGTTGTTACTATTGCATTTTGCATGTTTTCCTTGTTATACTTCTTGCTATCACTATTGTTTTTATTGCTGTTAACCTTACAGCTACTACAATCGATACCCTACTTGCCAGGCCTCCCTGGCCTCCCTAAACCTGAGACCGCCGGGACATGAACCCCAAGCCCAGACCAAGCGTCCCAAACCCTAAACCCGCCTTAAACTCTAAACGCCCCAAACCCTAAGCCTTAGCCCTACACCCTAAACTTTCCTAAGCCCAAAACCCTAAACTTCCCTAAACTAGACCCCGAACCTTTTTCGAGCTCCCTGGGCCTTTAAGGAGACTGCACCTCTGCCTTCGCCGCACCGGAGTCAACGGTTAGCGAGGCACAGTCGAGCTCGTTGAATGACGAGCCCCGGCGAATGTCGAGATTTTCCCCAGAGGGCCCAATATCCCTTAATTAAGGAATAGACCTTAAACCAAAGGGGCCTTAATATTATGGTTTAAGGTACATTCCTTAATGAAGGGGTCTTGGGCTCCCTGGGTCTCTGTTTTTCGTAGAATACTGCTTGTAAGCTGTATGTGTCCTTGTTCTAGTCTAGGTATGTGTATATGCCAAGAGGGCGCATATGCACTACTCTGATGGTATTAGGTCCCCAAAACCACAAGGAGAACCGTGATTTGTGACTTAATTCCATAAGGATACTATATATGAACCCTCTGGGATACAGTAAGAATCAATGAGTGCAGTTCTTATCGAGCGTGAAGGGTTTGTTTTGGACTGACGTATGTTCACATCATCTGTCAACATCTTGCCTCTCATACCTCGCGTCATATGGGAGTCTCCGAAAATAGGGGACCAAAATATAAAACCCCCAAATCGTAGGATCCTTATATTATAAGGACCCCCAAGTAAGGTACCCCCCCTTTATTTTCGGAAAATAGTAGGATCCTTATAAGGATTTCAAGGTAAGGTACCCCCCTTATTTTCGGAACCCTAAACGCTAAACCCTAAACCCTAAACCCTAAACCCTAAACCCTAAACCCTAAACCCTAAACCCATATCCAGGAGACCCGTTTCTGCTCCTTCCCGGGCGTCTCGCATCCTTCAGGCCGAAGGTTTTTCCGGACATGGTTTTAGGGTTTAGGGCTTTTTAGGTTTAGGGTTTTAGGGTTTAGGGTTTTGGGGTTTTTGGGGTTGTTTGTGTTTTTTGGGCTTTTCGGGGTTTTTAGGATTTAGGGTCGAGTCTGCAGTGGACCTAAAACACAGTTTGGGGCTTGAGGTTTGGAATTCGGGGGTGTTGTTCCTGTGGCCCCATACCACTGAAGACTTTTGAGTAGGTACTGAGGCTTATGCTGCCTGCATGCAGAACATTAAATGCCATAGAGAGAGCGAGAGAAAGAGAGAGAGAGAGAGAGAAAGAAAGCGGTTTAGGGTTTAGGGTTTAGGGCACAGTCAACTTCAGACCTGGAGCAGCCTATCGAGGATGAATTTGGACTTTGGCGCGCCTGCATCTTCTACTTGGAGGTTCATGGATAGTTTTAAGTGGGGTTATAAGTAGAATAACTGTAATTATAGTAGTTTTTAGTGGGGTTATAAGTAGGGTAACTGTAATTATAACCCATATTAGGGGACTTATAACCCCATTTATAACTACCCATGAACCTCCAAGTAGGCAGTGAGCAGCCAGGTCCGTCCTATCCTTTGCTGGACAGCTCCAGAGCCGATCACAGCGGATGCCCCAACCCTCCCACCCAGAGATCCCAATACCCTTTGATTAAGGAATATATCCTAAATCAGAGGGGCCTTAATATTATGATTTAAGCTATATTCCTTAATTAAGGGGTATTGGGCTGTCTGGGCAACTAACAGTCATGGCGCAACGTCCGAAGCCTTTCTGCCTGGAACAGCGAGTTTTGCCAGGCTAGGGTTGGGGCGTTAATGTTAATTCCACAACATATTCACACTAAGCCCCAACCCTTACAGTCTGTAGGCCCTACAAAGCCTAGAAGCCCGAAATGCTTGAAACTCCCTAAACCGTACCTGGTCCCTTAAAACCCGAAGCCCTAAACCCTATAGACCCTAGACCCGACCCTAAACCCTAAACCCCAAACCCTAAACCCTACATATGTGCACATCAAGCCTAAATCCAAAGCTTGGCGTTACCAGTCCGCCGAGTCGTCTCGGTTTCCTCTCGAACAGTCATGCCCATTGAAGCTCCAAGTATTTTTTAGGGTCTTGGGTCTATTTAGGGTTTGGGGTCTAATTAGGGTTCAGGCTTTAGGATCTTGGGGGGTTCGGGTCTGCGTAGGGTCTATTTACAGTTTACAGGTTTTCCACCACCAAAGTAGGTATGAACTGGAGACTTTCCACCTCCCCAGGTACTAGACCCCAGAGTAAGTACGGTTTCTCCAGGTAGCCATTTGTCAAGTTGTTCCTAGCAGAACCTTGTGATTCTAGCTGGATGTATGGAGACCGACTGCTCAATCCTGCAAAGCCGGCGGCCGAAAGCCCTAAAACCCTAAACCCTAAACTCTAAACCCTAAACCCTAAACCCTAAATCCTAAACCCTAAACCCCTAAACCCTAAACATGGTCATGTCTCAGCTCTTAGGGTTGCAATCTCGGACGTCGTGAAGCCATGCCCGCCTTGCGCGAGAGCGTGAGTCGACACCCCTAAACCTTACAGCCTAAGCCCTAAACCCGGCAGCCCAAACCCTAAACCCTAAACCCTAAAGCCGACCCCCTAAACCCTAAACCCTAGGCCTCGTTTCTTCGGTCCTAAACCCGACTACCCTATAAACCCTCAACCCGAATTAGCAAGCCGCCTATCTTTGAGCAGAGATGCAGGCGGTTTGGCCTATTTTTGGGGCTTCGCCCTGCTCTTCGCAGATTTTGAGGAGCTGTTTTTCTTTACTTGGAGGTTCATGGGTAGTTATAAGTGGGGTTATAAGTAGGGCAACTGTAATTATAACCCATATTAGGGGACTTATAACCCCATTTATAACTACCCATGAACCTCCAAGTAGGGGTGTAGGAATTCGGGGGACGGGGTCCTCTGTTCCGAAGACTGGGTAGCCCGAAAGACCCAAGCTCGAAACGTCGCGTCTAGACCTTTTGTTTCTGTATAATGTAACAGTAGGCACCTGCATAGCACAATCAAGTGGCAGGATGAACATCGAAGAGGAAGTGCCTTAATGCAGAAGCTTCGATGATTACCAATATTGTTCCTTAAGGTTCCTCACTATAGTTGTACTACTCTACGATAACCCAACGTCCCATTCGAATTCTTAAGGCCCCTATATTATCCGTTTGGCTAGCATGAGTGTGTTGATTCCCGCCTGAAGTGTGCATGTTGGATCTTTTGTCTTCTACGCTCCCCAGGAGTACCCTGTTGCAATTGTTAAGCCCTGAACCCTAAACCCTACTGGGGAACCTAGGGACCTAGTCTTTCAGGCCTCCTAATTTGACTGGCTTGGTTCGGAACTGCATCTTCGCTTGCCATCTCCCAGGTGTCAAACAGTGCCACTCTAATCGCCCCATTGCGTGGTATTCGAGCAGTATTCCGGCTCTATATGCCTTTCTGTGATCGCCCTCTTGCGTTGTCTTTTGGGGTTCATATCTGAAGAGCAGGCTGGTCTGTTGCGAGGGCAGGGGCTCGATCTTAGCATTTGCATATTTTCGCCTCTGCACATTGAATTTGCGAGTGTAAGTGTAAGATGTACGTTGTCACAGGCCGCCGTTATTTGTTGAGCCTTCATGTCAAAGGCAGCAGAGACGAAAAGAAAGACACTAAACAAGTAGGCATAGTGGCTGCGCTTGTCAAGGCCCAGGCATGGACTAGAAAACATGCAGACACGCGGTGCACACATCAGGGACTCACAGTTGCATGTGCTCACCTATTCAGCTACATAGGTTCGCATGTACATTTACGTACACACATAGCACACACACACACGCATACATTTGTACATGTACATGCTGCTTATACATACATGCATACATGCATACATACATAGATAGACGCATACATGCAGTCTTGAGTCCATACATACATAAAAACTCAAATAAACATTCTTCATCCACTGCGGATGTACATACAGACATGCTCAGACAGGCAGGCAGGCAGGCAGACAGACAGATGCCTGCACGCCTGCCTGTAAGGTTCACAGGAAGCTCTTGTCCGCATGTCACAGCATCCATCGTGCAGGACGCGGTGGACATGGACCGTTTGCATGATCTTTACAGCGGTGGGTGGGCCGCTGCGACCCGACAGCACTTGTGCGAGTGATACAGAAGGTTCTGAATCTAGGGGACCCATATGTGGACCCCGAATGGTTGCATTCTTAACATGAGGACCCCAGACATCGACCCCTAGCATTAATGCGCCCGGTCTCAATCCACTCGTGCGCAGACAAGCTTTTCTCCATCCCTGCCGAAACTGAACAGCCTCCTGAGCATGCAACTTACAGAATCCGTTTTTGTTGTATTCAAGAATGCCTTCGCTCCATGTACATGTCGGCTTCATCAATGAGACAGGCCCGTCGCGCTGCAAAGGAAACTGTGGGACATCATACAGCAAGGGACCGAAAACTTTGTGTCCTGCCCGTCCTGCGCCTTACACGCCTTGCCCTCGCAGGGTGAGACATCTTGGAAGCTACCAGGTTTACTGTAATTATTCGAAGGGGCCCCCAAAATAATATACCTATTTAGGCCCCTACATTAACTGAGTTTGGACGGAACGTCGTCTTCATGGGGCTGCTGAGCCAGATGCACTCTAGCAGACAGAGCCAAGCCTTCAGCACCCGTGACCCTCAGACTCGGATAAACCAGTAATCCCTTAACACTAACTAACTCAGGACCCTAGACCCTATAAGCCAGTAATCCCTTATAGGTTTAATTAACTAAGGACCCTCAGACCCTATAAACCAGTAATCCCTTATAGCCCTAAGTAACTAAGGACCCTCAGACCCTATAAACCAGTAATCCCTTATAGCCCTAACTAACTCAGGACCATCAGACCCTATAAGCCAGTAATTCTCAACTCTCACTAACTAAGAAGATTCAGACTCTATGAACCAGTAATCCCTTCACCCTAGCAAAGGAGGTTTGAGCTCACTTCAAGTTCGGATTGGGAGAGGTAAGGCAAGGAGTGCCACCAAATGCCTCCGGAAGCAACGAAGTTGAAGCTGCAGGGCAACCATGAAGCTCGTTAACATAGGGGCCTTAATAATTACCTATACTATTTTGGGGGATTCCTTAATATATAGTATAGTATACCCCAAAACCCTATTCTAGCTAGCCCGGCATGCAAGAACGTGGTAGGTCCTCGGCCTTACCCACTTTAAACGCGTTTTGGGACCTTGGCCTCGTCTTAGCATTTCGGTCAGACTCTGAACCCTAATATACGGGCCTTAATAATTAGAATAGGGTTTGGGCGGTATACTATAAGTATGATAAGGAGCCACCAAAACCCTATTCTATTTATTAAGGCTCCTGCATGAACTGTAAGGCCGCTTTCATCCAATCCTGCCCCTGAACTTTGAACCCGAAATGGGAGTTTCCAAAAATTAGGGTACCTTATTTTGGGGGTCCTTATAATAAGGAACCTACTAGTTAGGGTACTATATTAGGGTCCCCTATTTTCGGAAACCCCCAAATGCTATACCTTCAACCCTACCCTCAACTGTTGACACGCAATATAGTACCTAAACTAAACCCAATTCACTTGCACACACCACGCTAATAAACTTTTCTGAGCTGAGGCGGGGTTCAGAAACTTCTCTTGGCGAGTGTGGCTGGGCGTGCTGATTGGGAGTCAAGGGTCTAGGCTTTTGGGGTGAAGTGGGTGTACTTCCTTGAAAGGCAGCTAGGTGGCCTAGAATACACCCCCGCGCGGCACTGCAGTACGAATTGTAGTTAACTTATATATCCGAAACCCCCCAAAGCCTCACTCAACCCGAAGCCGGATCTCGAAGCTGTCCCTCGCTTTACACTTTGCAGTGAACCTACAACCCAGGCACGGGAGCAACACATCATGCCCCCTTCCCCCTCCCTCCCCCCTAAAGGTAATACAGGGGCTTCGAGCCTTCAGCGCCTGTGCCGAGGTGCCCCTGTTTTACAGTGGACCAAACTCTTTAGCTGAAAACCCAAGCCGTTCCACGGGGGATCACAAGCAAAACCATGGAAACAAGGCCTAATTACACCAAACAAGGCCCAAGCCGTTTCAGGGGGGGGAGGGTGGATGACCAAATGGGGGATACCATTGGAGGGGGCCGCCAGGGCGCAACCATCTATATGCACACACACACACACACACAGAGGAACAGACAATCCAATAAACAGGCAAACAAGCGCTCACAACATAAACCCTAAACCCTAAACCCTAAAACCCTAAAACGAGGACTGATATGGACAAGCCATCTCGGACCATCGAAAGTGAGCGACCCGCCTGCAAGCAAGGCAGGCCTGGGTATGTATCCCTAAGGGTCCATGTA